CCCTGCCCTTGTCCCAAGCCCCTCCCCAGCTTTCCTGGAGCCCCTTCAGGCACTGGAAGCTGCTCTAAGGTCTCCCTGGAGCCTTCTCTTCTCCAGGCTGAACACCCCAACTCTCCCAGCCTGGCTCCAGAGCAGAGCTGCTCCAGCCCTGGGATCATCTTCATGACCTCTGGACTCTCTCCAGGAGTTCCATGTTCTTCTTATCATGGGGGCTCCAGAACTGGACACAGTTTTCCAGATGAGGTCTCACAAGAGCCAAGTAATGTGGGAGAACCGCCCCCCCCCACAGTCCTGCTGCCCACACTGTTGGTGACACAGGTGGTTTCTGGGCTCCAGCACATGGCGCTGGCTCATGTTGAGCTTCTCATCACCCCCAGATCCTTCTCCTCCGGGCTGTAATCCCTGCTTAGAGCTGCTTTCACATCCCCCACGTACAGAGCTCCCACACCGCAGGTGTCTTTCCTCTGTGCCCACATCAGGAGCCTTCTTGACGATTTTCCAGACAAGCCTGCTTGCCCATTGATTTGAGGTGGGAGCAGCTTCTCCAGTGCAGGAGATTCCCGCGGCTCCAGCGCTGTCCTGCCAACCTCCCTCCTGTGGCTCAGCCCTGTCATTGCACACTCGGGGCAGCAGCGGCTCCTCATCCTGAGTTGATCTGGGACAGGGATCTGGAGGCGCTGCAGGAGGGCTCTGGGTATCACATACCCAGGGCACAGCAGAACCTGGGGCAAAGACACTTCTTCTACCTGGTCTCCACTGTGTGCACAGGGATGTTTGCACTTGGAACATCCAAAAGCTCCTGAGTTGCCTGGGTTGGATGGAATTCTGAAAGGACTTTTCTGTTTGGAGAGATGGAACAAGTGCTGGAGATTTACTGGTCCCAGTATTCACTTGGACTTACTCTTCTGAAAACATTTCCACCTACTTAAGCACGGAGTTCTGAAGGAGCTCTTGGAGCAGGAGTAACAGTCCATGAGGTAGGACATCAACCTCTGATGGCTTCCTGCTTCTCTGGAAGGTGTTCAGATACATGATTGTAGGCAAGGGGCAACATTAAAATGTGCTGATGGACCTCTACACCCAGCCATCCCAGCAGACATCCCTCTCAGCTCTGTAGAATGGACCATCATTCCTCTCCATGTGTGTGGGAATTCATTGGTACAGTCTGGATGGGATGTACTGGTTGGGAATCCATGATGCTTTGGAAATGGTATAAACTGGAAGAAAGGCAGGAGCTTCAAACATGCTGAAATGAAGTTTGGGCCACTCTAGCCAGCAAGCAGGTCAGCTAACCTGTTATGTTTCTGGAGCTAAAAGAGAGAAAGAGCTTTTTGATCCTCATTTTGTATCTAATACTTTTGATTCCCTTCTTATTGATACTTGTTGACAGCAGGAGAACAGCCATGACATGTGAGCAGCCATGACCTGCCAGAAGAGCTCCCTGCTGGTTCATTCTAAGGGATAAGGCAGGGAACTATTTATGAATTTATGGACAATTAGAAAATCCTCTTATTTAATTATTTCCACAATTGTTTTGTAACCAAAGGGCTGCAAGCACCTTTGTTTCAGAGTGAGTGAATGTAGAGTCTCCTTTGAAGTAGATTTTTGCTGTCCAGGTGATCTGGGGATCAATTCTGCAGACACGTGGTGCTGACATGAAGGAGCTGCTTGTACAGAGGGCTGGGAAGAAGGGCCTTATTACTTATATTAGTTTCCATTCTTCTAATAGATTCCAAATTTGGGGATTTTTTTTGCCTTTTTTATGACTAAAACCACACTTCAGGCCTTTTAAAATAGAAGGGAGAGCTTTGGAGTGCAGACTAAATGGACACTGTAGAGGCAACATTTGAGGAGGGGATGGTAATAATCTGGATTTCTGTGTCTCTTCATTTGGAGAAATAAGGTGGGGAAGGATAAAAGAGAGATATAAGGGGATGTATGTAGAGTTGGACATGGACATGGAGCTGTTGGAGTGAGTCCAGAGGAGGCCATGAAGATGATCCCAGGGCTGGAGCAGCTCTGCTCTGGAGCCAGGCTGGGAGAGTTGGGGTGTTCAGCCTGGAGAAGAGAAGGCTCCAGGGAGACCTTAGAGCAGCTTCCAGTGCCTGAAGGGGCTCCAGGAAAGCTGGGGAGGGGCTTGGAACAAGGGCAGGGAGGGATGGGATGAGGGGGACGGATTAAAACTGAAAGAGGGGAGACTGAGGTGAGACATGAGGAGGACATTCTTCACTTTGAGGCTGGTGAGACCCTGGATGGTCTTCCAATCCAAACCATTCCATGACTCCTGCCCCCATGGCCTGCAGGAGAAGGCAGCAGCAGCACTACTTGGAAGGAGTGATGGAAAAGGAGGGAATGGAGCTGGTGCCTGCAGTGTGTGGACCACGAGGGAAATATCTTCAGCCATTGAAATGTCTCACTGTCCCTTTGATGGGAAGAGCAGCTTCTAGCTCAGGGGTTGAGGATCTGCTCTGAACCCAGTGGTTGTGGGTTGTCTTGGCTCTGCAGGGCATGGTTTGATGTCAAATGGTTCTCAAGTGCAGTAGATTCAAGGGTCAGGTTGGACCACGGGTGTGTGGCATCACTCAGAGCAGCTCAGTGGCACCTCTGAGGCAAAGTCCAGTGTCAGGAGGACACGCTGGGCTTCTTGCCTTACTGCTCACTTCTTAACTGCATGGAAGTCCCAAAGCTTCTAAACAGGAGCTTGGCTGTTCCAGCAGCCAGTGTCCTTTCTCTTGCCCCCTGTGATCTAATATTCAAAATCAAGGTGTAATGGCTCAGCAGGCCAGAATCCCTGGAGTCCTGGGGTTCCTGGCATCTCCCTGCCTTATTTCCCTTTCTGCCAGTGGTAGGATTGCAGATCTCATCCAAGAATCTCACAGTTCTCCTACGTGCTGACAGGTCACAGAGCCAGAGCTCTGGTTAATGGTTGTGTTTCCAGATGCAGGAGGAATGAAGCCTCAGGAATTGCCCTCACACTACTGACTCCCCAGTAACCTCACTATTTATTTTTTTTCCACGGCCTTTGCCTGAATCCCTCCTACCTTCTTCAGATGGTTTGAGCAAAGAACACATCAAAGATGTGGGCACATCTCTCATCATCGAAATACCAGGAGCCAGGTTATCTGCAGTCATTTTCTGCCTGCCTGCCACTGGGAAGCAAGTGCCTTCAGGGGTTCTCATTGTGTACCCCGAAAGTACCCAGCATAACAACCCTTGATCAACCAGAGGCACCCTCATCCCCCCTCCTCCTCCCTGAAACACTGTGTTCACAATAAAACCCCTGCTTTCATCTCTAGCCAAGAAGAACACAGACAGCCTATTAAAATATCTTTAATAACATGATATAATTAAAAATATCTAACGTGCAACTCAAAGAAACGAAGATGAAGCTTGTTCAAATCTGTTTCCACACCCCTCCAAACTTGACTGACAGGTTCCAAACCTTCATTAATAGGCCTGAAAGTTGATGAATACCCCAATATTATGGGGAAGGGAGAAGATGAGTTGGCAGCATAAGGGACTAATGATCATATTTGAGAAGATTTTTGTGCCATGGTAGCTTTAAAAAATCCTGCAAGGCATATCCCAGTATCTGTGAGCATTTACATGTCTGTCTAAAGTGGCCTGAAATGAGGAGGAGACACTTGTCCCTTAGGCTTTTAACAGCCCATGTGTTTAAGTCTCTGAAGCAACCCAAGAAGTAAACTCTAAATGCTTTAGTCAAAGGACAGTGTTAGTCTAAATCCATCCCTTTTCTTCACAACGACACAGAGAATTTGTCCAGCACCTCATTTTGTAGACGAGCAGAACAGACCAGACCAGAGGAGCTGGAATGACCAGAAGGTCCCAGAGGAATCCTGAGTATTGGATTATAAAGAAACTCTGGTCACAGTCTAATAGGGAAGTAATGGGACAGACAATGTGCAGAGCTGCTGTTCCTGGGTCTGCTCCTCAGTACTGGGCAGTGTTAGATGAAGAGCTGCACTCTCAGACTCAGGGAGACAGGCAGCTCAGTGCAAAGGAGCAAACTGGTGAACCTCAGCCCACCATGCACTCAATTTTAGTAGATGTGAAATGAAATGTGTTAATAAGTCCTGGTTAAAGAGTTTAAATTGACAGCTCTAACCCTGCGTTGCCATGAGTCAGCTGAGACAGGAGCTCAACTGTCTGTGTCCTTGGTTTCTCCTTTGATGCTCTGCACATCCGAGACTAAACCCCATTGCTTTTGGAGGATTCTTGGCCCGCAGGAGCTGAAAGGGACACATGGATGTCACTGAGGTGGAGAATCAGACAGATCAGCAACAGCAGGCAGAAAATACCTGCTTTCTCTCCTAGAACATGGAAGCAAGGTGGCTGTTACATTCTATATTTTAATGCTGTTCCAGTCTTCACTAGTGGTGACCCTCGAGGTGTCCTCTCTCTTGCAGGCACAGAAGAGGACAAAGCACCTTTTTCAGCCATCACCTCTCCTGACTAGACAGGATTCTTCAATATTAACTGTACAGTAGCTCAGAGCCTGCCTGCTCAGAGGCATTGTTTTGTTAGCTTAACATGAGTCATCTCAGCTGCAACCCAAGCAAGATCTGATCATGCTGCTCTCCTCTGGAGAAGGAACAACTTGCCATCCAGCAGG